GGGATCTAATAAATTAATTTAATTTATTGGCATAATAATTTGTTAAGTGATAGAGTTTTAATAAAAAAAGTCCAAGAGTTACCATCAAAACATGTTACTATCATATCATTAGGTCAATAAATTTGATAATTATACCTCTTAAACAAACATATTTGAGTTGGTTGGTGTGCAAAAATAAAGTAAACTAAATCATTTGGAGAAGGTTAATTGAACTAAAAAAATTAATTTTTTTCACAAATATGGATTCTGAGAGGACTTACTGATAAAAATATTAGTGGCGATGGGGTTCATTGCTATACAAATCCATACAGTGTGACAATGGGGAGGCAGGGGGCTACTGGAGTAGCAACTCAACGAATTTGAGGTGCCCCGATGAAGTTTTCGAGGTCGTAATTGAGAGGTAGCCGATGATGGTGGTGGATGGGGTTCCAAGGGGTCCCAAAGATAGCTCAAGTGATAATTGAGATAAGTTATAGATCCAGATGTCTTGAGTTTAAATTATCACAACTCCTTAAACTCAGGTCATAAGGAATTTATTCTTCATGAATACCCTAGTCTTAGTGTGGATGACCTGTCTTTGACAGGACCGAAGAGAAAATTAGTCAAAATATATGTAAGTTGACTTAGACACTTTATCCGTTGAATAAAAAAAACGCAAACTTTTAGTGTCACTATTGTTGTAACACCCATTGACCCCTATCCAAGCAAAATCATAATAGAAGTTTTCAACCTGATAGCCCTAAAGATAAGGGTAAGCAATTTTCTGTTTGACCACGGATTTAACCTATACAACAAAACAATACAAAGTTTTTGTATATATTACTTTTTATATCGGATAGCACTATGCTACCTAAAAAATTCCGCTACCATACTTAAAATTACACTTTTTAAATATAAGGTTCTATATGTTTGAGATAACTCTTCTCTTTTAAAGGTAATATTTTAAGTTTTAAAAATTATAATGTTCATGATCGATCATATTATTCGGAGTTGTAATTTACATGCCAAAAAATTATAACTTGAAGTTAAAATATTCTAGTTTTTGATACGGTATCTCCCCACCGCCATAGTCTCCCTCTTCTAGACGTTGCGGCTGGAAGCCTTATTTTATTAGTGGCCATAATTGGGCCTACAGCACTGACCATAAGCATAAGACTACTATAGTTTGTGTTCATAGAATTCCAACAATTTTTTCTGCTCCTCAAAAGTCCACACAAACGGAGTTGATGGTCCCATATATAGACCACCTTATTTCAACCTAGGTGTTGGAAAAAGGACCACATGCCATATTGAACAGCCTTTTTTGAAAAAGTTTTTTTCCACCTGTACTAACTTATCATTCCTTCAACAAAACAATTGGTTAATTTCATTTTTCACCCCAACATAAAAGGCCACGTCTCCATCGAGCTCCTCTCTATAAGGATTGATTCATGGATATTCGAGGATAAACAGGGAGTTTACCACTCTCATTACCCTTTTGTTCTCCTCAATAAAATGTTATTTTCGTCTTTTCGGATAGTATAACCATGAAACAAAAGTATTTTTATAGCATGAAATATAATTATAACTTTTAGGCATAACTATAACAAACCTTTACCTAAAAAAAAATAAAAATAAAAAAGAAGCAAAAAACATATAGATGTTTCATTAAAGACAAAAGGCTTGGAAGGCTGAGGGAAATTATTATAATTACGCATTGTTTGGCATGATTATGGATTTATGATCCATTCATCTAAAAAATTATGTTAGAATTGTAGAAGTATGATTTGTATTATATAAAGTAAATTTATGAACAATATGATTTGATTTACCAGATACACTTCTATACAATGTATTCTAGTCATGTCTTTGTTTTATTTTCAAAAATTGTTGTGTCAATATATTCATTCGTGTTGTAACTTTTTGAATCTCATGTTAGTGATTGTGTTTCGTGTTCGTGCCTATGTTTTGTGCCTATAAATCATACGTCATACTCACTAGCATTGTTTTCTTGACCATTGTGGGCTAATTTTTTATTTTTTTAAGGGGAGGAAGAGGGGGACTTGAACCTTTGACCTCGCAAGGTAAGGAATATCATTGAACCAAAGGACTATGACATCAATCATTAAGCAATTATTTTGTGAAAATTGGAAGTAAGTCCCCTTAGATGTACTTGTTTGAAGATAAGTCCTACAAGGAAATTTATAAAAGACTGAGTCCATGTTTAAAAATATATGTAATGACTTAAGTCCACTGTTTTTTTTATCTCAAAAATATCATTCCTTGAAAGGAGATTAAATTAATTCTTATTTTGGATATAGTTATCTCTTAATTCAATATCAATTAAAATATGCCAATAAAATCTTCATCATAAATTTGAAAGTAAAATTCAAATCTCTCTCTCTCTCTCTCTCTCTCCTGCCAGTTGGTGGCATTGTTTCATCAATGTTCATCTTTTAATTTTCTATGAATTATGTCAATTTTGTGTGTAACGGATGACAATCGCTGGTCCTTGTTAATTTTTTGTTTTTTGTAATTTGTGATATTTTTCGTGGGGGTTAATTTGTTAAATTGAATGTTTCATGTTACTATTTTTTTATTATATTACTGTTCATGTTACTACTTTTGTTGAGTATGTTACTGTTCATGTTACTATTTTTTGAGTATGTTACTGTTATTATTTTCATAAATATTAATGTTCAATGTTATTATTTTTTTTGAATATTATTATTTTTTTGTTTGAATGATACTATTTTTTTGCGCTTGAATTTGAGAGAAATAATTATTGTTAAGTATGCTACAGTTTTTGTTAAACATTCTACTATTTTTGTTGAACATGTTAATATTTTTGTTAAACACGTTATTATTGTTATTTTTTAAAATATTTTTTTTTATGTTTAAATGTTATTATTTTTTATGTCCAAATGATAAATTTTTTTTTGTATTTAATTGTTACTATTTTTTATTTTTAATGTTACTATATATATATATACCTAACCTATATATGGATATAGATAAATATGAGATTGAAAATTTTAATGTTAGTCAATCTCTTAATGTATATATAGATGTAGATAGATATGAGAGAGAAAAGATTTTAATGTTAATCAAATTCCTAAAATTTAGAATTTTAAATTTTTAATTTTATTTCACTTCTAAAGGAAAAGGATAGTATGATAACATTGACAAAAAATGGACTTTATAACAAATAAGTTTCTTTGACGGACTTAAATCCATATAGGGGGACCGATCTCCAAATTTTCCTAAGTGAAATGCTTGTTTAGGGCTCACAAAAAATGAGGGGCCTCAAATTATATTTTTGGTCTTTAGATTATAGATTAATCCGGTTCAAGAATATTATAGAATACGGTGTCTAAAAAAATGCAAAATTTGATTCTCTCTCAACTCTTTTAAATTTTATACTCTCTTACCAACTCAACGGCCATATATACAAATACATTTATATAAACAAATTCTATCTACATCTCTCTCTCTCTCTCTCACACACACACACACTCTTCTGATTTTAAGTTTAAAACGTATTAAAAAATAGAATAATAGTCATAAAGTAACATAAACCCTATCTCAGCATTGAAAAAATAACCATAAAATAACACATATATTTATAATAAAATTTTAAAGTGTCCCACTTAAGGTTTTTACTTAGGGTCCCAAATTTTATTGAGTCGGCCCTGGTAAAAAGTGTAACGAGCATTTAGTCACGTTAAGATAAGAAGTTGCAGTGTACGGACAAAGTTTGTAGAAAAAAAGGATAGGGTTTGGTTGGGGCACAGAGTAACTGTTTGACTCGGAATTAGTCCCTATCAACTCTACGTCACAAATACAGATATATAACCAACGGTATAAGATGCACATGTAGAATGTGGAAAGGATTACACAATGGCTGGCTGGTTATCATATGCAGATGGACAGAATTGGCCCACAATGTATGCCAAGCTGTCAATATAGTTCCATATTGGTGGGTTACGTCAGAAGCTTCCATTGCCATGACTTGTTAACACTATAAAAAATGAACTTGAATAATATTTTTTCTCCTCCCAAGTTAATTAGCATGAATAATTCTATTTTAACTTGAATTGTCAAGAAACTGCTATTTTTTTGATTAGGTATTTGAATTAGATAATTTTTATACTGGAATGAGTGAATTTCTAGTTGGTGAGTGGCTTATTAGTGGTGGGTTTTGTTCGGTGAGAAAGGGGGTTCTATTATATTACAAGGTTTCTTTTTCATCTGTTATATAAATGTGTACCCATATATGATGAGATAAGCAAGCATGTTAGGTTATCATCAAAATATTTAATACCATTATTTAAAAAAATCCTTTAAATCACCTATTCATTTATAATTTTAAGTTGTTAGAGAAAGAGTAACTCAAGTATTCATATGCTTCAAGAGAGTTTATAATTAACTAGTACTCAATATAAACACGAATGACACAATCTCGACATATTATGACATAATTCGATTGATAAACATTCATAACCACCAAGAAACTAAAATATTTATATAATTTAATTGAGTCGAATAATAATAAACTAATACACAATAAAAATGTAAAGTGCCACAATTTAAATATAGTGTAACTCCAAGAGGTAAGTTAAGTGATAACAGTGACGAGTTGTAAATTCAAATATCGTCGTTAGTTCAAATCTTGACAATTCTTTGAGATTAGGTCTTGAAGGATTTATTCCTCATGAATACCTTAGTCCCAGTGTAGATGACATGCTTTTGATCAGACCGGAGAGAAAATTAATTGAAATGTAAATAAATTTGTTCGGATACCTCTTACCATTGAAAAAAAATAAATATAATATGACATAATTGGATTACCCACTACTCATAAGGGAAAACGATAAGTCCTACTTTTTGTCCATCTTTAACCATCTTTAACATTATAAATAGGTTTCGTGGTATGAAGTTCAAACTCTCCAGCCTCCTTTCCCCATTTGCAACACCACCCATCTATCATTCCATTTTTGCCATATATCCAAACTCTAAAAATGCCAACATATGACCTACCACCCCCACAGTCCTCAACGATTTCCCTACCTCGATCATTTTCATCACCCGTGGTACCTTCTCCTCCAATGAACACCAAAGCCGCCAATCCAACCTTGCCTGAACTGCCAGAAAACTCGGTTCTCGTCTCGATACCCATCAATACACCATCCGATCACCCAAGAGACATCGCACCACCGGTCGTGCAAGATTCATGTACTGCCGGAGAAGAAACAAGAAACACTGAGATGAAAATTTCAATTCCAGCATATCGAAGGTCGGCCTCAGAAAGACTTCCTATAAATACCGTCAACACGAACCGGACTCAGAAGTTGAATCCCGTTGTTCAACTCCTCCGGGATCAAGAATTGGGTAAAACAGTGCTTGGTTTTGTCGTGCCACTGACAGCTGTTTTCCTTTCAGCCTATGCCAAGGATTCCCATTCATCGGTGCGGCTTTTAACAGTTCTGCCACTATGCATAGGGCTCACAGCATTGTGGAATGGTCTCCTGCTTCGCACTACCTTCCATAGATTTTCAATCGCACTCGAACAAATCGGAGCCGGGTGTATTCTGTTTGCGTTTTTTGGGGTGATGGGATCATTTCTTCCTCCACAGGTTTCTTGGGCTTCCTGGGTATGTTTTGTTCTTTCGCTTTTACCATTTATCTTGGGGTACCTTCCTGTTAGATGGGGCTCCTCTGATGAACTGAGAGGCTAATATTTTTTTTGGGCAAATTACATTCCCAATATTATTGTGTACATGTTGGGTTTACTTCAACAAATGTTCTATTCTATCACTATGTATAAAAGACAGAATCCTATACGTTCTATACATGTTTAATGGAATTAACATCTTAGAAAAATGCTAAGTCTTGGAGCAAGGATTTGATCGGTTCAACAGGACAATCTCCTTTATTAAATGGAGTACATTAAAAGTTTGGTGATTGTAACTTTGTTGGGTTCAGATCTACAGTAGCTAACATGGGTACTAATACTCATTATTTAGACAATGAAGATGATTTGGAAGGGTTTGTCTTGATTAGTTCATGGTTCAAAATTTTCCATACATAACCCCATGATTCAACCATCAATGTACACATAAATGAGATCATCCACCATTTAAAAGAGATGGAAATCAGAAAATGTAAAGGACAAATCTGATAAGACTACTGGATAGTTTGTTCCAGCACCCCTACCAGGTGGGCTAAATTAAGTCAACCTGAGGTCTATTTGATACAAAAGACAGATGTTACCCCTGAATCAATTCTCTTTCTACCGTGTTTTTGTATCTTTTTTATTAAAATACTGTAATTTTAAACTTATTTGCCAAACAAATGTTGTTTTATGAAAAAGAGTTCCTAAAACACGTTTTTAGTAATTTTTATGCGTGGCTCATAAACACGCTTTCATAAAAAACTATGATAAATTGATAATTAAATGTAAAACTATTGCATTTTATTAGTTAAAAAAAATTAGAGCTACTGCTTACTGTTTAAAAAAGGACCTTTGACAATTTCAATTTAAATGAATTGTGTGGAGATTGAACCCCCCAAAATAAAATTGTATGTAGGAGAATAAAAGGCATTCTGATATTCGATAACTATTATATTTCTTGGATACTTGATCAATTTTGGCAAATGTGACAGAAGTTACGGTTAAGACCATGGTACCAATTTGGTAATGCAGTACTGAAACCTACCACAGAATAAGGGTTTTGGTTTCTACATCATGATCCACTCAATATGGGTAATGCTGACGATTTTGAGAATTGTTGGGCATGAAGTTATAAATTAATTTGATGAGTTTACTATTCAATTTTAGGTTATTTTTCCATGTCAAAAGATTAAGCTATGGTTAAAAAAGTTGGAATTGATGTTAAGATGTTAGGTTGAGGCTAACACTATAGGATTAATCTCAAACGACCCAATTATATCATAACATCATCATACTCAATCTTACCTCATGTATAACCTTTGAAACAATACCGAAAAGTAAGCCCTCCGTACTATATATCTTATTTGCCCAGAAGTCACACATACCAAACATTGGAAATCACCCCCAGTACATTAACTCATTCAGCATTCCTTTCAAAGATCGTCATACTCATTCAGCATTTCTTTCCAGTCATCTCACTCACATAAGCAATTGCTGCTAACACAATTTGTTGAGCTGTGTATACTGAAAATACAGCACTTGTAGCAGTTACCGTAATAGCTACGGTTTTGGTTCGAGTTTACTTGGACAACAGTCTCATATGGGCACTTTTCGGCAAATGCATTGGCCATTAACGTAGAAATTTGGGAACCCTTCACACACTGATGTACAATTAAGCATCCCGGCACTCCTATGGATGGAAAAAAGATATACAACAAAATTCGTAACATGTCAAAAACGGTACATGTAGCACTACTCAAAGTATTTGCTCCACTATACACCTTGTCTATATTTAAATAATCTCTCACAACATAAAAGACTAATGCACTCGACATGTAGAATGGTGCGCTTAAATAAAAATAACATACTAATAACCAAACATATCATAGACCCAAACACAACCCAGTTAATTCATCGGTCAAACATAAACAATGGTTTTTGTGGGTATACATATATATAAATATATGAAAGAGAGAGAGAGAGAGAGTCAGCAACTACAATAACTAGGAGGACCAAGAAAAAAGCCAAGTTTGTGAGAAAATATTGGGTGCTTATAAGGCACCGAGTGACAGTGTCATTTGGTGTCTACATTCAATGAGAATTTGTTACACAATTAGTTTGTATGATACACAAATTGATTTTTTTAAAAAAATTCTGATAAAGTGATATGTCGCAACTATTTACTGAGCGTGTACAAACTTTTATTTGTGATCTACACCAAATAACACTTGTGAGCATGTGGTGCTGCTGAGCACCAATATTTGGTGGTTGAATGATTGTTGTGGACTGGTAGTGGCGATAGGATTCAAAGTGTAGTACACTAGCGAGTCGCCGAGTCTACTCAAAGATTGAATAGATAGGAAAGCATCGTTATCTTTGAGGTTGATGCTTACTCCGTCGCTAAATAACACATGACTTTGACTGCTTTTAACACTGGTTTGATGGGTTTTTTTGATTGACCAATCCATCCGAATTGGATTTAATTTAGAACTTATGAAATTGGATAATTATTAACGCCGTGTTGTGAGGGGAATTCTAATTGTCCTAATCAAAATTGTACTTTTATTTTTATGAAAAGCCACAAGTTGCTTTGATTTTCGGGATGTGAGCAATGTAATTACATATATAATTTTTTGAATTGATAGAGTATTATTTTCTTGACAAGATAATTTACTCCGTTGAGCTGTTATAAGTATGTTTCGGTTTTTGGGAGTTTTCGGACATTATTTTCTTAAATTATGTTAGTCATTCAACTTTTAATGATAAAAAAAAGAAGCAGATAATCATTTGGTAATATGCATAAAATTCAACTATCATAAGGGTCCCACGACCAAGGAAGGAAATCTAGAAGATTTAATTCATAGCTTTCTTTCAGATATTTTCTTGGTACAAAAGTAGTTTTGTTTTGTGGACACATGACAATAATTATTCGACCCCACTTTGAATTTTCTAACTTCTGTCACTACCTACTCTCTATCGAAACAACAATGCCTAATTAACTTGTTAGGCAATTACCACTTAAATACGTCACTAACTAGAGATACCTCACTTAAATAACTGGAGAAAGATGATGCCAGTGAGGGAAATGACAGAACATTCTTCCTCCACATGATAGGGGATGGAAGAGGGTACCTCTCTTTGGAGTAAATATTCAGTGGTAATGGTGACATCATTGTCACTATTGTTACGTAATATTACCATCCAATAACAAACTTACAAGTGAGGAAGATGAACTCCACTTCTGTTATTTTATTGCAAGGATAGGGCAGTTACTAAAATAAATGGGGTCCACTAGAGTCATATAATTTTGGACTTCACAAAGAGGCCAAAGTTTGCCAAATAATGCAAGAAATAATCAGAGATGGCCCAACACAAATGATATAAAGAACAACAGGGAATCACTGGGAACTAAGAATACCATGCCTTGTTACTCTCCCAGACCTAAATTAAAAATAAAATCATATGGTTATCAGCCACCAATGGTTGTATTCTACAGCTTCTGCACTAGAGAATACCTGAGAAAAAATGTCTGAAGTCCCTAGTACCAATTGCTGTGGTTTTGTCTAAACATCCTAATAATGAGCTTCATAACTTGGTTTGGGGTGAGACGTAAACTCTTTTTTTTCGAAAGATGAATAGATAGAGTCATGATACATTCTGGAATATTGAAAAGGTAAATAGACGAACAGTCTAATATGGATATAATACAACACTATTCCCACAATACTAGCTCAATATGTGTCCTATGTAGGAGGGAAATTGTTACGTACTTCTAATTTTATGTATTTATTTGAATGTTATGTAAGCTAACATTTAGGAGGTTATGTAGAGAATGAGACAGTGGCGCCCCTCACACACTGGAATGGAATATATACTGCCTCTTCTACATGGGGTTTTCTAAGAAAATTTTGCTGGAGTTCCTTGGAATTAGCTGGTGTGGTTCAGTCCCACGAATGAACATCATTCTCTGGCTTGCAATTAAAGAAAACCTTAGTACTAGAGATAGATTAGTGGCATATGCACCTCATTTAGAGAATGATTGTGTCTTTTGTACCTCTACAATGGAGTCTCACAATCACTTATTCTTTGATTGTGAATATTCTACAGAAGTTTAGTCTGGTGTTATGTCTAAGTGTGGGGCTAATTGGCAGCCTACGCCATGGCAGAGTTTCATTTCACAAGCTTCTCAGTCAAGGATTGAAATTTCATTTCGAAGTACCGTTTCGGTCAACACAAAAACGAAAACGTTTTGAAAACGCAATAGAAAGACAGAAAAAATATAGAAACACATGGAAACACAAATACAATCCATTAATTTATAAAGATAAACTAAATAATTGATTAATTTAACATATTTATTGGATAAACATCCATTTATATAAAAATAAATTTAAATTAGAGGAAAAAAATACTTGACATAAGGCGAAAATCACTTAAATTAGTTTCAAACACTTAATGTTCATCAAATAAACACATTTTTACATAATATTAAGGTCTTATATTACACATGAAATGCTAATGAGTACATACTTATATGACTACATTAAATGTAATTTCAATAGGGTATTAAATATAATTACAATAAGGTATTAAATATAATTACAGTAGGTATTAACTATTAAATGTAATTACAATAGGTATTAATTATTAAATGTAATTATAATAGGGTATTAAATGTAATTACAATAGAGTATTAAATATAATTACAGTGAGTATTAACTATTAAATATAATTACAATAAGGTATTAAATGCAATTATAATATGGTATTAAATATAATTACATAGAGGTATTAACAGCAAGAAGGCCAGGAAATAGAGCACAGAAAGAAAGGCCTGGACAGACCCACAGCAAGATACAGAAAAAATAGAGCAAAAACAGAGGATGAAAGATTAGCAACAAAAGAACACTAGAGAGCCAATCCATTGCAGCATTGACGCAGAAAAATAAGAGTATCACACCCTCCAAACATTTTCCACAGACAAACAGGTCACAAGCATTCCACCGGAAAGCCAGCACCAAAGAAAAATCAGTCACATTCGGTGGGATCAAAAATTTTGTCAGGCAAGGCCCATTGTCTTTGCAACCATGCATTAGGAATGTTTCTTTTGATTCCATGGCAGGCATGAAGCTTGAGTATAACATTTTCCACAATCTCCTTATAAATGGATACAACTTCTCTATAGGAGTTTTTAAATAGCCTGTGATTCCTCTCCCTCCAAATCATATATATAGAGGTGGCAAGCATCAATTTGCCAATTAGCTTTGGAAAAGTCTTTCCCTTCATATTTGCAGCATATCGGTTAACCAAATCTGGCCAATCAAGT